CAAGGTCAAAGTCAGTTTTATTGTCAATTCTGCCACATATACAGGACATACAGAGAAATTAAATTACGTTACTCTCAAACTCTCGCTAGATAGAAAATAGACATTTAGTATAAAAGGAGTAACCAAGTTCACATCCAGAGGAGCCAGTTGAGGTGGCTTGGGCATCTGGTCAGGATGCCTCCTGGATGCCTCCCTGGTGAGGTTTTCCAGGCACGTCCAACTGGGAGGAGACCTAAAGGTAGACCCAGGACATGGTGGAGGGACTATGTCTCTCACCTGACCAGGGAACGCCCTGAGATTCCCCCGGAGGAGCTGGCATAAGTGGCTGGGAAGAGGGAAGTCTGGGCCTCTCGCCTTAGGCTACTGCCCCCGCGACCTGACTCCAGATAAGCGGATGAAAATGGATGGATGGATGATTTCCATTTTATTAAACAGCACTAGTTGTCATGAGAAAACCTCACCTGGTCACGGCTCTTTGTTGATGTATATTTCATGAAACTACCCATCGTCTCTACACAACGCTTGAAGTCTGTTTGACGAACACTTTAGGTTGACCTAAAGACAAATACAATTGGGACTCTCATCCTCTCTTTCTGGTCCTGGATCGCACATATGTTGTACCACTATTTAAATGAAAAGCAATATTATTCTTGTAACGTAAAATTCCTCTATGTCCGTTACATACTTTGATTTTTATTAACCAGTAAAAGTTCATAATAGCATGACTACAAACCAGACATTGCAACATGACATAAACATGACGTCACTACAGAAACTCCTCTCCCCCAGCATAGCTGCTACTTAAATGGTGAGATTTATGGTAGTTCTTTTCTGCTGAAGAACAAATTTAAGTTTGCCAAACTTACAGCCATTTTTCCTATGTTTTTCTCTGTGTCTGGTTTGAGGACGGTTTGGTGATGCACGTTTGTAGTCCTGTACTTATATTCACAGAAAATCTAAAATAATGAATATGAAAGTTTATGTTAATGAATAAATAATTGAAAGCTGGTGCTACCAATTCCCACAGGTGTTCAAACTTTTCTGGATTACTTACAACCCCCTCTGTCTGCATTAAAGCAGTGTTGGAACATACTGTGATACCATACCCTTGTGAGCATCAGTTGAACAGTATTGTACTGAGGATCAGGTGTGTTGCTACAAAAATGGTGAGAAAAAGGCAATTAACAATGGAAGAGAGACAGACCATCCCAACACTTAAAATGTAGGGCTTTCCTACAGAGAAATTACAAAGAAAGTCAAGGTGTCAGTGTGTACAGTTTCCTTCACCATCAAAAGGCACTCAGAAACTGGGGCAAACTCTTGACAGGAAGAGGTCTGGCAGACCCAAAGCCACAACTGCATCAGAGAACAAGTTTCTGAGAGTTAACAGCTTGCGTTATTGGTGGCTCACAGGACAACAGCTTGATAGTATTCGTAGTAAGCAAGTCTCAGTTTCAACTGGGAAGAGAAGACTTCAAGCTGCAGGTTTGACAGGATGAGTTGCAGCAAGGACGCCACTGCTAAGATGTCAGAATAAGATAAAGCGGCTTGCTTGGGCCATGAAACACCACCCATGGACTACTGAAGACTGGAAGAAGGTATTATGGACTGTAGGGCTGCAACAAACGATTATTTGGATAATCGATTAATCGGATGGGGTCTCGACACGATTAATCGATTAATCGGATTACATGGGGACATTTTTAAAAACTGCTAGGGAAACGTTATTTCTCTCCTTCCTTCACTTTATTTAACACAACATTATTAGAAAACAGTTCAATAGCAGAAAAACAACATGCCATCACCTAAATTGTCTTATAAGGTGTATAGACAGAGACCCTACGCTACATCTATCTGTGACCTAAAATGCTTGGTCCAAGTTAAACAGCTTAAGGGCAATTCTCATCTGTTTTGTTTGATCTCATCTGTTGACATTTATTTTAAATGTAATTAAACATAGGCTGTGAATTAATCAAAATTGATCACTATTTCCAAAAATGACTGAAAAAATACCAAATAAAACAAAAGTAAATGAATGCCATCCTCCTTGCGATGATGCCCTGGGCAACTGCCATAAAGTCACATCAAGAAATGCTGCTGATCATTCCAATGATCCCAAATAGACTCACATTAGGCCACATGAAAGCAACTGAACCCAAAAATATATTAACCAGTATATAACTGCACTCTCACACAACACGCCTGCAGCAACAGTTAGGACTCCTCCCTCCCTTTTAAAAGCGTTTTTGCTTCTGAGGACATTGTGGTTGTAAAACCACATGCTAGTAGTCTGGCCCCGGTGTGATCAACCAGTTTCTGCGGGAATGTGACGGCGGAACCAGGGCCAGATTAACACTTCGTTGTACCCTGGGCAACAATATTCAAGGGCTCCATCATCACGACCCGAGGATCACCATAATGTGGTCACATACAGAATATTTTACTGTAATATGCAGTAAATATACTCAATACTTGAATGCCTGACAACACGTAACCCGCCCAGAGTAACCTTTGACCCACCTCGTGTGGACTGACCAATGAGGAGAGGGTCTTAACTTGAGGCCCTCTCTTCATTGGTCAGTCTGCATGAGACTGACTCTCAACTGACATTCGAAGTCATAGGCAGCAAAGCGTCTCTGTGCAGGGCAAAAGCCCGGGTGGACAGTTTGTTTAATGTAGGGTGATCATATTTCCATTTCCAAACAAGAGGACAGGGGATCTGTGCCTATGATGTCACACTATGGCAATGCCACACAAACCATGCTGGGACCCATTTTTTTTATAAGAACTATATTAATATCAGATTCTGCCAATAAAAGGGCTCTAAAACAATTCATATGTAAATATTTTGCATATTTAATGCAAAATCTCATTTTTATGCTTTAGTGCTGCAACAAGGTTTTATTAATAATAAATTATTATACCTTTTGTTTTACTACAGCATCGGTAAGCTTCCTGTGCACAGATTATTAAGGATGCTTGTTTCAGCTGTGAGATTAGACGATAGGATCAATGATAAAATAAGTTGTCACACACTCCATGGAAACTTTCAGATAATCCACAAATAGTGGCTTTCAAATGGTTTTGTTACTTTTTGCAAGTTTAGAAAAGAAGCTGATGAGACAGCATGTCTGATAATTTAGTTTTTCATCTGATATATTAGAACATGTCAGTAATGTCTGAGGGGCTTTTACAAACACTGTATAACTAATACTCCTGGAGAGGGCATCAATTACACAGAGGCTTCTGGGGAGCCCAGTTATGGGGGGGGACATTTTGCCTTGGCCCCCAAAATGTCTTGAAACGGCCCTGGGTGTGTGACTGAGTTTTGAAGGTGATCTGAATTGTATCAGATGTATAACTATGACATGTGTATAACTTATTGTTTTTTACAGGTAGAAACGTGTAGTGGAGATAAATCTACCTACATTTTACTTTGTTTTCTTGTTTTTATTTAACTATTTTCCTGTCCTGTCTGTCTCTCATCTTCCTGCATCTCCTCATAATTCTCCAGAAAATCTGTTGCCTGGATTCTTACTTTTTCACCTCATCAGTTACTTTTGAGCAGATCAAAGAGATCTCCTGACCGCAAAGCGGAGAGCGCGTTTTCGATGCTGCGTGAGGTGAAATCACCACAGCACAGGTGATGAGCTCCGCAGCAGAGCGCTTCAGGCACAAATAAGACAGAAAATAGAGAACATGTGCAGACAAGAACGATCGTGTGCTAATTATAGTTTTTTGGTTGCGCCACTTTGAGAATGGACCGTGCGCTGGAAGCAGCTGCCTGGATCGCTGTGCAACAATGCGGAACCGGTTCGCAGCAGCGCAAGTCTGCAGGCTCTCCCTCGCGCTGATCTGCCTGTACCGGCTCTCCCTCGCGCTGATCTGCGGCTCTCCCTCGCGCTGATCTGCCTGTACCGGCTCTCCCTCGCGCTGATCTGCGGCTCTCCCTCGCGCTGATCTGCGGCTCTCCCTCGCGCTGATCTGCCTGTACCGGCTCTCCCTCGCGCTGATCTGCGGCTCTCCCTCGCGCTGATCTGACTTGCTCTGGTCTGCGCGCAACGGTGGGCGGGAGGGGGGGGGCGCTTTTGGAAGAGTTGTGCGACACAACGAATCGATGACGCAATTCGTTGCCAACGCTTTTAGTAATCGATTTTCATCGAATTCATCGATTCGTTGTTGCAGCCCTAATGGACTGATGAATCCAAATGTGAAATCTTCGGTTCATCATGCAGGATCTTGGTACGCTATCAAGTAGGTGAAAGGATGGTTCCACAGTGTGTGGCATCAACTGTCAAACATGGAGGAGGAAGTGTGATGGTCTGGGGCTGTTTTGCTGGATCCAGGGTCAGTGACTTACAGAGCGAGAGGCACTTGGAACCAAAACAGCTACCACAGCATTCTCCAGCGCAATACTGTACCTCTGGTATACGCCTAGTTGGTCAGGGGTTCATTCTACAACAAGATAATAACCCTAAACATAAGTCCAAGCTATGCCAGAACCACCTCAGGAAAAAAAAAAAACAAGATGGTAAGCTTGTAAACATGAAGTGGCCAGCACGGTCTCCAGACTTAAACCTCATCGAGCTGGTTTGGGATGAACTGGACAGACAAGTGAAAGCAAAGCAACCTACAGGTGCCACACATTCATGGGAACTTCTGCAACAGATATGGTAGAACTTTCTGAAGAATATTTGATTTCTATTGTAGAAAGAATGTCACGAGTGTGTCCAGCTGTTATACCTGCCAAAGGTGGCTACTTTGATGAGTCAAAAGTTTAGAATACACTTTGTTCTATAAATTAATTCCACAATTTATGTTTTTAACTCCAACTGCTTATTTGTACTATGCTTTCATTTCAGAGTGCAATTTGACATTAAACTGCATCATTGCCAATAAAACAACGGGACAAATTGGGGCGTTCTAGAACTTTTGACCGGTAGTGTATATCAGAAATACTGTTAATAAAAATTTTGTTCTTTTTCATTTGTTGTTTGCAGTGATGGCAGCAGCACTTCAGCAGAATCTTCTGACCCTGAAGAAGACCACATTCCAAGCAACACTGTAAGAACTATGTGGTATTCTGACGTGAATGACTGTGTTAGCGAAGGGCTCATTGACACTAGATTTAGGCCTAGTCCACACGTAGACGTTTTTTTTTTAAACGAATATCCGCCCCTCCAAAAACTTGCATCCACACCACCTCGTTTAAAAAAAAAACTCTGTCCACACGTACCCGGATAAATACGTTGTTAAGGACATTACAGACCTGTAGGCGGCAGTACTTCCCCCGTTCTTAACCTCGTCCTTCGTCTGTGGTCTTCCGCAAGGAGCAGTAATTCCGCTTGCAAAAACAAACAAGCAAAAAGCGCTTGGACAATTGATAAAGCGAGCGCAGCTCTGAGGGCATCCATGCTGTCGGCTAGTGTAAACACGGGTCGCACACGTGATGTCAGCATTGTTTTGTCGCGTAAAGTGACGTTGCGGACCTGAAAACTCCGGTTTTGTCTGTCCACACGCAGACACCCAAAACGGAGAAAACGCAGATCTTCACTTTGGCCGGAGTTTTTAAAAAGATCCGTTTTTGTGTGAAAAACCTCCGTTTTCGTGTGGATTGCAAGCCAAAACGTAGAAAAATATCTACAGGCAGATACATGTGGACAGGGCCTTAGTCTGTTTTATTAAAGCCTTGTCTGCTTAGACTGTTATTTTTGCCCCAATTAACAGAGGCCTCTAGCTGAAGCAGCAGTAAACTCAACAGGGAGGGACACACACACACACACACACACACACACACACACACACAAAAAATGATGTGATGGATGTAATCTCTAATTCTTGGTTGTTCTCTTTCATTCATTCCCAGTCCAACAGTTTTCTTACATCCCTGTATCAAAAGGGACGTTCTGGTCTAAGCAGTCTACCCAGCAGATCACCCCCCACCCCAGATCCCAGTACACTGGTGTCCTCTGGAGGCTTCTTCATTGATAAAGGCAAAGGCCCCATGAGGAGCAGCATGCTCATAGACCTTTGTGAAGAGGAGTCTGATAGCAAAGGCCCACCTGTAAGTTTGCATGAAGGCATATTAGTACACAGAGACAGTAAAAACAAAGACTTGTCAGCACACGGGGACAGTAAACACGAGGACTTTTCACCACATGGAGACGGTAAACACAAGGACATGTCGGCACACAGAGACAGTAGATGAGTTTAAGGTTTATACTGTAGCCTCCAGCGTTTTAGCACTAATCTAGCCAGACTGTTGCTATGAGGCTAAAGCAGTGGTCTGGTTGTGTTGGTTGACAAGAAGGAATGGACGACTAATTTGATGATGTTTATGATTTTCTCATTGATAAAGGATGGAAACTCAATACACTTATTTTAGGATATGAAATTAGGGTTTAACTATGTTAAGAGATTAGTTAGCCTCTTGACGGTAGCAAACAGAACACGAAAATTGTTGATGTTAATAATAACTGGAGAAAAAGGCTTGTCTCACCTTATTTAATTCGGAGGTAAGTTACTTTTTCTGAATTGATGCTCAGTTTTCCTGCATTCTCTTTTCTGATTGGTAACAGATTTAGTGAACCTCCACTGAGCTTTTTGTTTGCCAGAGAGAACTTTGACCTTTTCGGGTGCAATGATGTCAAGGACTTCAAGAGTTTTGCAGTTGAAATAATCTTAAAGCGAATGAATACAGCTGGTCGTGAGACTTGTTGACATATTTATAAGTTCTATAATGCAGTGGGATTACCCAGATACCTTTTTTGAGAACAACTGAGGTGTAGCAGGTAAAACAGATAACTAAGAAAAACACAAATGAGGACACAGAGATGTAAACAAGAGGCCATTTTAGCACACAGACAGTAAAGAAGGGGACATCTTAGCACACGGAGACTAAACATGAGGGCAAGTTAGTACACAGAGGCGGTAAACACGAGAACATGTTAGCACATGGAGACGAAGCTTTAAATTTTATTGGTGCATGTACCATCTGTTATGAGTTTGATTCCTCTAACAGGAAGGTGCCTCTGCTCTGCAGCCTGAGAAATGTCTCAAAGAGTCTCGGAAAAGGACAAAGAGCTCTGCAAAACCAGTGGAGTTCCACAGCCTGAACAGAAAAAGTAGGTGGTCCACTTTAAATTGAGCAATGCACTGAGATTGTGGTATTTTAACTCTCCCGCTCTGTGCTAGTGAACAAGTTCATCTCATGGTGCTTACACATTAGCATTGGTTTGGTCCCTTACGGAATTGGACTTTGGTTTCACACACTGGTCAGATTTGCGTTCTTTTTAGACCACCTCCCCAGCAGTCAGACTGGGACCAAGCACTGGGCTTTGCCACTCACTGGCACCCCTACATACTGATTGGCCAGCTGATATTACGCCTACTACCTCCGATCGACGAGTAGAGTGACCCAGCAGGCGGTTCCCGTATGCGTGATTCCTTTTCTTGCGCGATTCGTTTAAGTAAACTTCTCCGTCTGTAGCACGGAGCTGCCGCTCAGTCGAATGGGAGTGATCTGTGTGTGTGTGTGTGTGTGTGTGTGTGTGTGTGTGTGTGAGAGACACAAGATTATGAGGGCACACACAGCAAATTAATAAAATAATGTGGTAACTTCAGAGTCTCCAAAAGCAACACAGCTCATGTCCGTCTTTGTTTACCTTATTATGGAGGACACAGCGGACTTTCCCGCGCGTATTAAATGCTGCCCACAGGCTCGGGGATTCCCGAGAAGTCCCTCGGGATTTATACAACACCCATTCGAGACCAAACTCACACCATCCATCCATTGCCTTCAACTCTAACCATGACTGCGTCCCCTTCCTCATGGAGGATGTGATTTGTCTCAATTGCTCAATGGCGTACGTCTGCTTCTCCAGTTGATGGGCAACAGAAAGCCATGTCATTAGTGGTGCCTTTACGGCTTCTATTCTTCCGCCCCGTACAAATTTGGGTCACCAGTCTAGTCCTCCACCCCAAGCAACACCAACAGACATGTTTGCCTCTCCGACAGTTGCCTGAGGCAACTCAGGTCTTGGGGAAACATGGACTTCATCTGCAGTGGTGTTCTTTTAGGCTCCCTTCCTTCTCGTTGGGAAGTGGTTGTCACAGTTGTCTCTTTCAGGTGGGATGGGGGGCTGTGAGGAACCACAGAATGGTCAGGGGCATCTGGAACCCCTAACCCCATAAATGTTTTGGAGCTGTGTGCTGTCCGGCTAGCTCCCAGGCATTTTTTGCCTACCCAGGAAGGGAAACATGTACTTGTCAGGTCAGACAGCACATCTGTGGTTTTCCACATAAACCATCAGGGGGTCACCAAGTCCTCTTACTGGCGGAAGCTCAGAAGCTTCTCTTGTGGGCTTTACCTCATCTTCAGAGTGTCGGGGCAGCCCATTTGCCCAGGGTGCAGAATTGTGCTGCATATCTCCTCTCCCAACAGGGACCTCCTCTAGGAGAGTGTAGATCAAACCCCATTGTTGGTTGTAAAAATTATCTGGCGGAGGTATGGTGTAGCCAAGGTGGACCGCTTCACCTGGAGTGTGACAAGGTATCGCCCACAGTCGTTCTCTCTATCGGAATCAAACAGTCCGTTGGGTCAGGATGCTCTGGCACATCTATGGCCGAACAGTGTCCTGTATACCTTCCCTCTTCTTCTGTTGCTAATGTTGACACTTGATAGGATAGACGAGAGCAATCACAGGGTGCTGCTGTTTGCTCTGTTCTGGCCAGGGAGGGTCTGGTTCCCCATGATTTGCTAACTTCTTGATGGGGAGCCTTGGGCTCTACCTCTGCAGAAGGATCTGCTCTCACAACTCCATAATGCCCCCGTCTTCACACATGGCCATTGAAGGGCCTCGTGTGAACAGGCAGTTGTTCAAACTATCTTTAATGCTTGTGGTTTGTCTATCAGGGTACTGTATGGTAACAGATGGAAACTTTTTACAAACTGGTGTGAAAGTAAAAAAAGTGGATTCGGACACGTCCTTGTGGATGGTTGTGCAGTGGGGTCACATTCCCTAGCGTGTCACTTTTAAAGGAGATTTGCGCCTGTGTCCTCCAAAGCTTCCACGAGTGCCTTCTTGGGACCTTCCTCTGGTCCTGGAAGGCTTATGTTCTCTGCCCTTCTTGCCTGTTGAAAGTGCTGATCTTCGATGGGTGTCAGCCAAAACTGACTTTCTCCTGACACTCTCTTATGGAAAGCGTGAGTGAACTCCACGTCCTATTGATCGCTGAGTATTGCTTGCCATGAAATGCAGATCGGTCTGGGGTGGCCTTATGGCCCAACTCATTCTTCTTCCCCAAATGATTGCTGGAATGTCATATTAAACAACCTGTGTCCTTTGCTGTGTTTACCCCACACTTTGGCTCAGATGTGTCTGCTTCAAGCCCCCTGACATCTGTGCTGCAGCTACTTGGGCTTCATCCTGAATATACGCTCCTTTCTACAGAGTGAATGTGGCTGCTCCCCATGCAGTGGCTTCAGCTGTGTTCTCTTCATGACTGATATCTGGCGAGTGTAGACTCTTCGTGACTCTGTTGGTATGAGGTCATCCAGCTGCTCTGCACTTCCCTCTGCTAGTCGGGAGGAATGAAATAGAATGAGAGTTATGTATGTTATTAAGGTTCTATTGATTCCGGATGTTCACCAGAGTTGTCAGTCACTCTTGAGTCCTACGAGTACTCCAAAAAGGACTGAGTTTTGGTGACATGGGGTATATATAGACTTCCACCATGTCACCCAGGTCACATCCAACAGCATGATGTTGTTGGTTTATTATCTCGACCTCTGTGCTGCGCACACACGGTTATGTCCAGGTACTCTGCACCGCCCTCTGGCGGTCATCCGAAATTCATAGAACCGTAGTTACATACGTAACTCTTGTTAATCACAAGCATGTTCCCTATGCACATTTAGGATTAAGGGGCTAAACCATCCCAAGTTTTCCACCGACATTGGTAACTAACAGCAACCAATACCGTTCGCTCATGTACCTCAAAGTTATCTTTCAACAGAAGATAATTAATAAAACAATTTGTATAAAATTGATCCAGAAGTTGTAGCCCATCTGTGCCTACAATATTTTGATATCTTCTTACCCTGTTAGTGTAATGAGCTTTGAAAGAAAAGCGTCTGGACTTCTTTGAGTTGCTTGAAGACGTTTCACCTCTCATCCGAGTGGCTTCTTCAGTTCTAAGGTCAAATGGTGAAGAGTCCCAGATTTAAACCCAGTGGGAGTTTCCCCCCGAGGAGGGAACAAAAGACCCCCTGATGATCTTCTACATAAACACATTGAGGGTGGGTGTGGGTCCTATTCAGCCAGAGTTTTGGGTGAGCTCATTGTGAAACCTGGCCCCACCCTATCATGTGAATTCCTGAGGTCAGATGGCCCAGGATATGCGTGGGCGTTGAGGCATCTGGGAAGGGATCTCAAAACTGGATTATAGATGGCAGACAGTTGGTGTCGTAACCCACCGCCTCTGTTCAAAGATGGTTGCTCACAGTGGACATAAATGGCTTCCTTTACTCCTCTTTCAAACCATCTGTCCTCTCTGTTCAAAATGTGAACGTTGGCATCCTCGAAAGAGTGACCTTTGTCCTTTAGATGCAAATGAACTGCTGAGTCCTGTCCCGTGGAGGTGGCTCTTCTATGTTGTGCCATGCGCTTGTGAAGTGGCTGTTTGGTTTCTCCGATGTAGACGTCTGGGCATTCCTCGCTGCACTGTACAGCATACACCACATTGTTCAGTTTGTGTTTAGGAGTTTTGTCTTTCGGGTGAACCAGTTTCTGTCTGAGTGTGTTGCTGGGCCTGAAGTACACTGGTATGTTGTGTTTGGAGAAAACCATCCTGAATTTCTCCGATACACCGGCTACATAGGGGATGACAAGGTTGTTGCGTCTGCCTTTCTTTTCCTCCCTCGCTGGTGTCTGGTCTTCTTTTCTGTGCATCTTTGCTGACTTTATAAACGCCCAATTAGGATAGCCACATGTTTTAAGTGATTCCTTTATATGTGTGTGTTCCTTCTTTTCCCCTTTGGGCTTAGAGGGAACATGTTCTACCCGGTGGTGTAAGGTCTTGATTACTCCAAGTTTGTGTTCCAGAGGGTGATGTGAGTCGAAGAGGAGGTACTGGTCCGTGTGTGTGGGCTTCCGGTACACTTCAATGTTGAGGTTGCCATTTGCTTCAAGGTGCACAGCGCAGTCCAGGAAAGGCAAGCAGTTGTCCTTCATGTTTTCCCTGGTGAACTTGATGTTTTTGTCCACGGCATTGATGTGCGTAGTGAAGGATTCCACTTCTTGTGTTTTGATTTTGACCCAGGTGTCATCCACATATCTGTACCAGTGGCTGGGTGCTCTCCCTTGCTCCCTGCTCTCCAGGTTTCACAATGAGCTCACCCGAAACTCTAGCTGAATAGGACCCACACCCACCCTCAATGTGTTTATGTAGAAGATCATCAGGGGGTCTTTTGTTCCCTCCTCAGGGGGGAAACTCCCACTGGGTTTAAATCTGGGACTCTCCACCATTTGACCTTAGAACTGAAGAAGCCACTCGGATGAGAGGTGAAATGTCTTCAAGCAACTCAAAGAAGTCCAGACGCTTTTCTTTCAAAGCTCATTAGACTACAATGACCTGGATGACTGAGAACCTTCACAGACATACCCTGTTAGTGGTTTTAATAGTTGAGCAAGTGCCGCTTTTTGACGTGTCACACGTCTCCTTTTAAAACATGTTTAAACCATTCAGAGTACAATTCCAGGCTCTGTCTTGTTAGATTGTTGTAATTAAACTTTGTACAGAACAAAACTTTACATTAAACAATGTTGAAAAGGTAAGAAGAGGATCCTATCAATTCATTTTTCCCCCCTCATTTACAGTGACGGAGATAACAGCGCAGTGCGCATGGCTCTGGTGTTAATCAAGTTTAATATTTCTGTTTGCAACAATCTTCACAAGAAGACAAAACACTTAAATGGCTGAGTTCACATTGACCGGATATTTCCTGTTTATTTTGACGGAGAAACCTCAAGTCTGCAGATGCGCTGACATTTTTATCGTTAGTTAGTTTTATCGTCGTTCGAAAAGATTCTCATCAGAACATCTGAGCTGGACACTGCTTAGTGCAGCTCACTGTCAGCGTGCACGTAAGGTGGACAGCGAGCTGAAGATTTATTCAGCTGATGTGTAGATTGTTGGCTTGGAGCGTGTTGCAGAACCAGAGCGCATGCAGGAAGATTCCTCTCACTGAAGTGTTCTCACTGTGTTTTCCAAACCATGTCTCTCAGAGAGACTTGTCATTTAGAAAATGTTCCCTGATTATGAAACTTTGGCTGAATAGGGCTTGTTCCTGTTTCCAATGTGGCGACACTGCGACGCATCCATGAGCCTGTCTGAGGCAAAAGTCCAGAATCTCGCATCCTCTTCAGCTCACAGAGCAGGTGACCTGTCAACCTGGTCAGGTTTACGCAGACAATCTTTAAATTTAGAATTGGTGTACAGATAAAAAAATGATTGCAGTAAAATAAAATATATTTAAATTAAATATTCATTAATTATTTTACAAGCAGAGAGCCGCATCAGATGGATGAAAGAGCTGCATGCGGCTCCAGAGCCGCGGGTTGGCGACCCCTGGTCTATCCACTAACCCACCAAAACTATTACTAAAGTATAGTTGCCTAAGACACGTGTCCTGTACTGGACATTACGTGCGTCTTTGTAGACAGGATGCATGGTTTTTATGAGCTTGTTTTTTTCCTCCCCCCAACGCAGAAGTAATTTGTCACAATATCCACTCGGTACCAGTGTTTTTTTTAGCAGTCATCTGTAAAATTACAGTCACAGATGAAAACATTCTCAGCTGCAGCATTAAATCAACCGCTTTATGTTGATATCTTTCTTCATCTTTGTGCACATCGGAACATCCATCCTAAATAAATCAGCCATCTTCATGCCGTTGAGCTGTCCCTAAATTTATCCCAATTTCTTTTCTTTTTTTTTTTTTTTTTTGTTCAGGCCCAATCACAGTTTTATATGACTCCTCCTGATGGGTTAATTCTACCACCATTATCAAACAAACACAAACTGGACACGGACAGTTGTCTTTTAGAGCAACTTTGCAAAGCGGAGCATAAGATGGAGCATGTGTGTGCTCACGTCCCAACTCAGACTTAAATCCACTTGGCTCAACTAGGTCTTTTATTAGAAGTGATTACACAATCATTAGATCATTAAAATGAAAAAGAAACATACACGAGAAGGAGCTTTAGGGAGTTGTCAACCTTATCAGTGGTATCCAGGAAACTTCTAGCTTCTCTAGGGAGTCAAAATGTGAGTGTTTTAATCATGGAGTCTGACAGTGTGCTTTTGGCACGCTGTTCTTATGGCAGAGGTATGTGAGCTGAAAGATTTTAATGTCATAATGTATGGTCAATAAAACAGTGTCTAAAATCTCTAACACAGCCTCACTTTGTTCCTGAAAATTTTAAGTCTCACCTTCATCAGTGTAGCTGGAAAGACAATGCCATGCTTCAATCTGGCCCGGTTCTTTGCCATCTCCTTCATCAGTTGTAAGTTGACTTTGTAAGTTGTCGGGTTGGCTTTTTCAACCTCATCTGGTAATCCAAAGACGCAGACATTGTATTTACGGCTGTCCATTTCAAGCCACCCAACCTTTTCCATCAGCATTGCAGTTTTTGTTCCCCAGAGTTCCGCACTCCAATTCCAAAATCAATTCTGGGCTGGAAACTGTTTTAACAACTGTAAACTAGTTTACTCCTTTTTCCCGCCATCTCCCAGAATTATTATTCACCGAAAATGTTCCGGTATTAATTCCCCCTCTCGCGGAGGAACCCCCCCCCCCTTCACGGAGACAGAGACCGGTGAGACGCTTCGCTCCAGCAGCTCCTCCACCTCCGTTCACATTATTTCTTATATTTTTAATTCCTAAACCTAAAACAGGAAGTCCAGACAGACGACTGAACCCTTCTGTCAGCGCTTCTCCTCAGGAACATCCACACACGACGTTCACCTCCACTGACTCAGTGATGTAGGAGACGGGTTTAATGCGACATCACCGTTAAGACTGCAGTCGCTTTCAGATATGTGTCGGAGTTAGTATTACATATTCAAGTGACACGGATCGCATTTAAACAAATCGGATCTGTGCATTCAGACTGTCATAAAAAATTCAGATATGGCTCGCACGTGCGCGGGGGGGGGGGGGGGGTGGATTTGATGTGCTTTTGCCTGCAGTGTGAACGAAGCCTTTGTTTCACTTGTTGGAGCACTTTCACATTGTAATTATCCATTTGTTGGCACTACAGTTTTGTTTTTGTCGGGGGCTACAAACCATCTAATTTTTCATATCCGCCAATGTTTAGGTCACTCTTTTCAGATAAAACACCACAATTTTAGCCTATTTTCAGAGCTTGGTGTTCTCACCTTCCTCACTTGTGACACATGCGCAGCTTGACCCAGTTCAACCATAACAATGGCGGAAATGCTCATGCTTTGGTATTCGTCAGCTGACCTGTATGATGGGCATGATTGATGATCAGTTTCTTTTCTAAATGCAGCATCACTTTTGGCATTTCCGCCACTGCTGTCGTTGAGCTGTTACCCAGAACAATGCATCTCCTCGAGCATCATTCCAAATCCGCCGCGATGGAGCCGTGGGCTGCAGTGGGAGCATTCATGTTCTTTTTGAAACTCGCTGCCTTCTTACCAAACATTTAAGAGCTAAAAAAACACAAGACCCAAAGCAAAGTCAAGTTTGACGACTAATTCAGATTGAAAAACAAATTAAAAATGAGAATGAAGTCACTTCCGCATTGGCCTCAGTTTTGGCAGCTGGAGTTTGCGTCTTGAACGTGACTCAAACCATAGACTATAATGGCTTCTATTTGTCGCCAAGACGCGCCGCTGCCAGTTTCGGGTGAAGACCAGCTTTTCTATGTGGCTACTTCTGAGAGCGTTTGACTTAGCATGTTAAACATGTTACGTATCAGTTTGGACTGTTTATTGAACATTCTTACAATAAATTCAGTAAAAAAAATTGCTTGTAATGTCTGACTGAATGTATTGCAATATATTGTGATATATCATATTGTCTCCCCTGTATCGTGATATGTATCGTATCGCCAGAATTTCAAAAATACACATCCCTGCTCGTGCGTGAAGGTGAGGGTTTCAACCAACAGGAGAGGGAGGGAGAGACGGCGTGTGCATCAGAGCGACCAAACTGATGTTTTTGAGCAAAACTGCGGGAAAAGTGTTGCTGTTTAATGTCTCATTATGAAAAGCGTACACCCACACCCCTCACGTGAGACGCGGCGCTCATTCAGGTGTCTCTTCCTTCTGACGCTGCAACACGCAATATTTTTTATTTATTAAGCTTATAGTTTTTTTTTTACTCAGTAACGGATACGATTGAAAATGTAGCGAAGTACAATTCTTTTAAAAAAACAGACTCAAGTAAAAGTAAAAATACAGATTTTAAAAATGACTTAAAAAGTTTAAATACACAAAAAAGCTACTCAGTTACAGTAATGTGAGTAAATGTAATTTGTTACTTTCCACTTCTGCTTTCTTCCTTTGATTTTTCCTGCTCTAATTTGTTTACATCAGTAGCCACGTTGTATATTACCGTCCTTTTTCAGTTACTCTGCTTGTTTCTTAGATACAACCATATTCCCAGAACTGCAGTACCCCACGGTGAAATTTGAAGATGTGGGAGGAAATGAAGAGACCTTAAAGGTTAGTTGTTTTCATGCCTGTTGCCATCTCTTAGTGGCTTCTGAGATTAACAGGAAAAAGTTTTGGTTCAGAGCTTCTATTCTGCTACTGCAGGAGGTGTGTAAGATGCTGATCCATATGCGCCACCCTGAGGTGTACCAGCACCTGGGGATAGTTCCTCCTAGGGGCTTTCTCCTCCATGGGCCTCCTGGTTGTGGAAAAACCCTCATGGCTCAAGCTGTAGCTGGGGTGAGCAAGCCATCACAGTAATTACATATGACATGCACAAAATGGCAGCACTTAATAATAAAATGTATTAAGATTTTCTGTAAAATTATCCAGGATTCATTGGGATTGTGGCTTTCATGTATTTGAAGTGAGAAACGGTTGTTTTTATCACCTTTAAGTTTTGAAGCACCAGAGAAGCTAACTAAAGCCAGAAAGGTTTTTACATGGGAGTAACCCTGATCTGGGAGAAGTTACAAAGTTTTACCCATTACCTGTTAAATGTCTCAGAGTCTCAGAGTGTGGTGATTTCTGTTTCAGGAGCTGCAGCTACCCATGTTGAAGGTCTCTGCTCCAGAGCTTGTGTCCGGAGTGTCGGGGGAGTCTGAACAGAAGCTGCGGGAGCTCTTTGACCTGGCTGTGGTCAGTGTTTATCATTTTGTACCAACTTGTAGAGGCAGGCGTGGGTGCATGTGTGTTGTGTGCACGCATGCATGTCAGAGCAAGAGAAATAAAAAAGGAATGAGTGTGCTGCTCAAAGTGAGCAGTGAATGATTAGGAAACAGCTTAATGAGACATGAAACTGTGGTAGTGAAATCACTGATAACTTACTGGTGTTGCTGTTCCCTGGCAGAGCTCCAGTCCCTGTATCCTGTTCATAGATGAAATAGATGCCATCACCCCTAAAAGAGAAACAGCTTCTAAAGACATGGAAAGAAGAATGGTGGCCCAGCTTTTGACTTGCATGGATGGTACGAAAACCATGAAGAACGTTTATCCCTCAAGAATTTGCACAGCTTCAGACCTGCTGAGGGGTGTTGTCTTGACTTGCTGAGTAGGCATAAGGCTGCGGCTTCAGTTTTAGCCCCTTCACATGCTGTTGTGTTCTTATTAAATTAGTATAATTTACCATTATCCTAAAAGAGAGTTCAGTGTTAACTGGCAGCTTCAGAAACTAAACTTTTGCATGAACCCATTACTGAAACAGCACAAACAAGATCTGCTGAGAAAGAAGGTAGTTCTCAAACCTCATTTGTACGAGACACCTGTGAGTGGCAGACGCACTCATGATTTAGGCTAAAACTCCCGTGAGTTTGGCTGGCACCAATGATTTTGCCCAAAACACTGGCTGCGCTGCAGTTTCTACTGCTGTAGAAAGAACTATTTTCTTGCCATTTCACCGACATTTATACCAACATTTAATGTTTCGGCAAGGACTTGCATCAGATTCAGCTTCTAACTGAAAGGAAGAAAAAATATAGATGAAACACAATGTAAATGTGTTTTAAAGTTATTAAATCATTTTATAGACCTAGAAAATACTTTGTAATTCATTTTTACCATGGTAAAAGTTATTTAACCCTCTGGAGTCAGTGGTATAGTTAGCCATTTTAGTGTTAACCTTTATATTTCCATCTATATTTTATTGTTTATGCGTTGTTTGGTATCATTCTTTTCAGCACAACCTCACCTGTGTGAATTTAGAGTAATGTCTTCATTTTGTCATACTGTATTAGCACACAGAACTTATTGGGCTATATGGAGAAGTATAAATTACCCCGGTTTCACGAAAGCATCAGTGGCGCGGAACGTTGCTGCTTCAAATAGAATCCATTCAAGTCCATGGACTATTTCAAACCAACTGTGATGCGGCAATTTCCATTTCTACTTTTGTCACAAGCCTCTTCCGGGACACGTCAATTTCCGCAGTTAGCATAGGACAGGAAATCACACATAGTTTCAGTGTAAGATCCCCAGTGATATTCAAAATAAAAGTACTGCAGCGATGCAATTTCATATATATGAAGCTTACGTGTGACCCAACGACTTCTTTACCTACATCATCGTAAGTGCAGCGGTGTGTTATTTTCATGGCTTTATACCTGGCAGTGGGGAGGGACAACATCATATATGACATCAAACCGCTATAACAACGTGATTTCCTTCTTTTTGGTTTAATGGTGGATTGCATAAACAAGCCCTGAAGTCTCGAGGAATCTTTTGATCCCGTGAGTCCAACAAAGAGGACAGCGAGGAAGCCAAGACTCACCCGGTGTGAAATAAATGCTTTGAAGTTCACAAGTAAATCCTTCTGCTGCCGTTTCGCACCGGTGATTTTCCCAATATGAAACCAGAGTGAGGCGTAATGGGACCATCACATGCCGGCGCATGGATTTTTCAGAGGGTTTAAGAGCACGTGGAGGATGTGAAATCAGATGTATTCTGGAGACCAGAGTTCTTGAGTTTGATTAGTTGATCAACTTTCATTGGACTGAATGGACAATACAGTTAGAAACCATAATTGGAAATGCCTAACAGAACTCTCATGAAAACGTGAATGAATCTAATATGACTTCTGCTTTGCTTCTAACAGACTTAAACAGTTTGACCATGACGACCCAGATTCTGGTAATCGGGGCCACCAACAGGCCAGACTCCCTAGACCCCGCACTTCGCAGGGCCGGGCGCTTTGACCGAGAAATCTGTCTGGGTATCCCTGATGAGGCTGCTCGTCTCAGGTAAATGGATAAATACGGATCGTCCACACACACACACCTACACCTACAGAAATCTTAACTCCTTTGTGAGGACTGGGGGACAAATCAGTTTTAGCAATCATTTAAATGATCTTTTAATGAAGATGTAATTTTGTGAAATTTTGGAATTATTTCCATTCTTAGGGCTTCTGTGGTTCTGTGTGAGGTCAGCCCGCTTGTCTCTCAAAATGCAAATAACGTTTTCCCCAGCCAGTATTAATTTTATTGAGGAAATATTTGTTTTTTGTGACCAAGAATTTTTGCGGGCTAAAATGAAACCACAGCAATAAAAAATAAAAAAAACGATGTAAAATGTAATTATGATGAATTATGATTAACTACAGAAATTCACAGTAACAAAAATCAGAAAATTTGATCTTTGGATGATTTTGCAGAAAATGGAAAACGTGTGAGGAATAGACAGAAGAACCAATCAGCAAATGGAACAGGCAGGACTAGACGAAAAAAGAGTCAGTCCAGTTGAAACCAGCTGCTGGTAACAGTTTAACCATTTCTTTTTTTATATATATTTTTTACCGTGTCCTGCCCGGTTGTGAAGCTATCAGAATTGATGTCTGAATGCTGAAGACAAGTCATAAAGTTTTTCTCTCATGGGTGACGCATTATATCTGCTGCTATAATGCCACGCCTGAAATCGAAACTTGATTAGAAATATTTTTCTGCAATTTTCTTTATCACAATAACTTGTCTTCATCTATAGATCATATGTAACATGTTTCAGGTTGATTTGTCGAAAAACAACGGACTGATGATTAAAACAAGATTTTGCGTTTTTTCCTATCTAGTAAAAAATTGATTAAGGTGGAAATGGGCATGGCCAATACAAAACATGCAAAATCAGCCAAGGATCAAGCATGTATGTTTATGAGTGTGCGTATGGTTTGGGAGTTATTGGCCAAACCGCAATGACCTTTGCAATAACGCCACCTAGGTGTTTCTGGGTATGTATTTTTTAATCTGCGTAGCGGTAGGGATTTTCTATCAGACTGCCATGTTAGATTTTTTTTCTGGCATTTTCTGACTCTTGCACCCATATCACTTTAGCGGAGAATAATAATAAATAATGAAAAATCTGTACAAAAACAGAATGGTTCCCTGACCTTCGGGCTTGGAACCCTAACTAGAACTGCGAGCAGTTATCAACGGGTTCCAAGCCAACAAGGGCAATTCCCCCACCCGGCCCCGCCCCTGCCTTTGCCATTCCTCATGTGGCCCCGCCCATAAAACACGTTCTCCTGCAGGTGTCCTGTAGGAAAACTATTTGAACATTTTGCACAGCCTATATGAAAATATTTCATAGGCATGGCTAACATTTCAATCCTTATTATGTATGGGACAGCAGTAGCTCAGGAGGTAGAGCGGGTTGCAGGTTTGATCCCGACTCGGACCAGAAAATGCTGCTGTTGGGCAATAGACTTAACCCGCCTTGCCTGCTGGTGGTGGTCGAAGAGACCAGTGGCGCCAGTGTTCGGCAGGCCTCGCCTCTGTCCGTGTACCCCAGGGCAGCTCTGGCTACATTGTAGCTCATCCCTACCATCCTTGTATGAAAGCAGTCTAAAATAAAATTCCTAAGAACAAAGTTAAGTAAAATATTTAAAACTTAAAACAAGCCCAAACATAAAGAGTCTAAATAAAACAGTTGCATGTTATCGAGTTGCTCTCAAGATTTCTTAGTTCAGATTTAAAAACATTCATTGAAATAAACTCTGTCATCTTCCATTTTTCCTGCAACTCATTCCAAGCTGATGGTGCTGAATGGGCAAAATATCTCTTTCCAAATTCAGTACGTACAAATGGGACAGAAAGTAGCAAAGTGTCTTGTAAACAAAGAGAATAACGACCTGCAATTTTCATTTTAAGTAGGGAAGTTATAGAGGAAGGTAGCAGACCAAGTAGTGCCTTTATATATAAATCTGAAAAAATGAGACTTCCTCCTGATGGTCAAAGCAGGCCATCCCATCTGATTGTACAACTCACAATGATGAGTCGAGTACTTACGGTTAGTAATAAGCCTTAGAGCAGCATGATACACTGTGTCAAGTGACTGAAGACATTTAGCAGAAGCGTTCATATACAAAATATCTCCATAATCCAGGACAGGAAAAAATGTTGCAACAACAAGACGGATCTTTGCATTAAAAGAGAAACACAACTTATTTTGAAAATACAAACGCAGTCCTAACTTCAGCTTCTTCACCAGATTCTCCACGAGGTTTGAAGGTGAGTGAGTCATCAATCAAGAAACCCAGATATTTATACGAGTGAACCAACAATATTTCTTAACCATCAAGTGTGGTCACTGAAGGAACCACTTGAGCCTGTCTCCTCGAGTTTGTAAACAGCATGAGCTTGGTTTTGTCTGCATTGAGAACAAGTTTAAGCTGAAGTAATGAATGCTGGGCAGCAACAAAAGCTTTCTGTACTGAATCTATGGCTTGAGTTAAGAGTGTTTCCACAGCTGTAAATAACTGTATCATCGACATAAAAGTGCAGGTTTGCATCTGTCACATTTAGACCAAGATTATTAATGTAAATGATAAATACAAGAGGGCCCAACACAGAGCCCTGTGGTACCCCCTTGTGGACTATGGCAAATCAGAACAAAGTCCATCTGATTTAAATACACTAAAACCTGTTTTTAAGATAATTTGAGAACCATCCCACTGCTTTTTCAGATATTTCTGACTGGAGGAGTCTAAGTTTTAGAATACCATGGTCAACAGTGTCAAATGCTTTTGACAAATCTATAAAAAGGGATGCACAGTGCTGCTTTTTGTCCAGAGCAACAACAATGTTGTTTACCACTTTTAGTACAGCCGTGGTAGTACTGTATGTTTTCCTAAAACCTGATTGATATTCAGATAAAATAGCATTAGTGTTTTAAAACTCCTTTAACTGTTCACTCACCAGATCCTCAAGAACTTTGGCCAGTATAGATAAGTTTGATATTGGCCTATAATTTGATAATTCTGTTGGATCTCCTCCTTTTAACAAAAGGGTAACAAAAGCCGATTTCCACACTGAGGGAATTTCACATCAGCTAACAAGTAGAGGGCAGACGATCTTCTTGAAGAAGAAATAGCAGGTCTGAGGGCCAAAATTCTTGCTAAAAACTTATTTTCTGCACATTACACAGATAAATTATTTTAAAAATCATACAATGCGATATCCTTTTTTTTACATTCCGTCTCCCACAGTAGAAGTATATCTGATGAAAATAACAGATTTGTCATCTTTAAGTAGAACAACTTGCACAATTGGTGCAAATACTGTTTTGCCACCTTTAAATTGTTTTACAAGCAGGTTTTACGACTTTGAATTCAGGTCAACTCAAATAAGGGAAGATTAAATAAATGCTGCATTTGGAATTAAACAAAATTGTACAGCTTAATTTTAAGCTATATCACTCAGCCCTACATTTCTCGTAAAAGCCACTCTGAACCTAATGCAAGCATGATTGTGTGTTTGACCAGGATCTTAAGAACATTGTGTCGAAAGCTGGTGCTGCCAGAAGATTTTGACTACCAGCAGCTGGCTCGGCTTACTCCAGGCTACGTAGGAGCTGATCTCATGGCTCTCTGTCGTGAAGCTGCCATGGCTGCTGTCAACAGGGTTCTCCTGAAAGCAAGGGAACCTCTTCAGGAACAAGCCCAGAACTGCACTCCAGGCCTGACGGGAAGTGGGGAACAAATGGTGGCTGATATGAACCACCATCAGGTAAAGGGGAACCCTAACCTTGTCTAGAGTAGGTATTCTGGGGGCTAACTGTAGTTTAGTTAGAGGTGAATGGGCCAAATTTGATAGGTGCAGCTTAATCTGATTTAACCATGCCGGTTGAACATGCCTTTTTAAATTCATCCTAACAAAGAGATTTTCTAACGAAAAAACAATGGCTTAAGTTTTAAATTCAACAAGTTCCTCTGCATTGGTATTCTTTGATTCACAGACTACAAATTAGTAAGTCCCACAATTTAATTCTGGGAATTCACACACCACTACATGCAGCAGTTGGCTAACACAGAGCATAGTTATCACCTCAAAAGATAGAAAATGTTTGTATTTTGGATGTATTTATAAATGAACAGCAAAGGTGTAATGTGTGCAAACAGGGCATGTATAAAGGTGGAAGATTGGTGCTGCATTCAACAAAACGGATCTGGTTCAATTCACTGCAGCAATTCAGCTAAGCCAGCCAACACAAGGAAATGGGGGGGGGGGGGGGGGGGGGGGGGGGTTGCTGGCTTTTCATTACACCAGCCTGCAATATTACAGCACCGCTGCTGTTCCTGCACTAGAGGTGTGAATCTTCACTTGTCTCCCGTTTCGATTACGATTATTGGGTCGACAATTCAAATCGATTATATATCCCGATGACTATTTCATATGGATTTGTTTTCATCGATAAATAGAAGATTTCATAAAATTTATTTGTGTCTGACACAACCTGCCATCTCCAAAAGCTCTCCATTCACAACAGTCCTTAGGACAAAACATTTTTAACCATTTAAGAAGATTTAACAAAGTAAAAAAATCTGTTTCCTCATTCAACATCACAGCTCAGGCTGAGAAAAGCATGCTTTGCAAATACTCACAAAATCTGAAAACCTACAGGACACGTCTGATTCTTGCCTTTAATTTAAGTTATGAAATCCTTAAAGGGTTCATATATGAGTGTTTAATGTCTCGGAGCAGCTTTAGAGTCAAATATTTCTGTTACAGTTCAAGGCTGTAAGAAATAACACCAAATGAAATGTTTGGCTTAGTTTGTTATTTTTTTATTTGAACCCAGTGGCCTTATTTCTGAAATGTTGGAGAATGAATCAAGTTGTTTAAAGCAAAAAATAATAAAACATTAAAATAATCCTAAACTTCCAATAATATTTAAGATGTGTGTTTTATTCTTTCTGATAATAACACCAGCAGAAGGCTGTGGGCTGGATTAGGATTAAATTACCCAGCTGATGGATCACTTTCACTAACCAGCTAACTACAAACCTTTCCACCAACCTGTCCTGTGGGACCCTCACCATGTAACCCTCATGTCCATGCTGTCTCTGAGGAGCAGATAGGAAACAAGATCTCCTGTAACTTAAATTGAACCAAAGCTTCCTCCCAGTTTCTCTTTAAGCTGGATTTAACATCAGTTTATCATCATGAAACAAAAGAATAAAGTGGAACAAAAACTTCTATCTTCTATTTCTCTTTACTTTTAACTTTTCCGTGTCCCTAAATAAAAGAGACAGATGGTTACGCTGCAGCCGCCGTCACTGACCCCGCCCCCTCCCCAGGACCGGATCTCCTGACATCACACCACTCGGTCTGACTGAGCGCTTCCAGGAGAAATAATAATGAAATTATGAAAATAATAATGTGTGTTTGGAGATGCATCCTCTGATCCTCTCTCTCTTGTGTGAGCAATGTGTGTGTGTCTGTGTCCCCCCCCCCCCCCCCCCCCCCCATCTCAGTCACTGATCGAACGAGCGGAGTGCGCCACGTGCCAACTAGCTCAATTAACATAATTCACGGCCCAAATCCAACAGCATCGATCGGACTTATTCAGTTCGGGTTCGGTCTCAGGTTAGAACTCCCAGCGCTCAGCCCTGCAGTACCACATAAAGGCAGACCAAAGTTTCCTACCAGGTAAATGTGGAGAACACCTGCTCTGACAGATGTGGATGCTACCCTGGAGCCGCCGTTAAAATAACCAAACTACATTCCACTATAATTGATTATGGTGCTCCTCTACATGCAGAATCGTTTACGTCTGCATCTCATGCATTGATCATTTGACTATTTTCCTCAGCTCTAGCCTAAACCCCCCGGTCGGCCGTTAGGGGTGGGGGGTGCACGCGGAGTTCGGGGGCCATCTGTTGAGTACCGCTGATCAAGTGTGTCAAAGGCAGCAGTGAGACCAAGCAGAATTAGCAGCACAGGTTTTCCACAATCAGTTGCTAAAGAAATGTCATTCAGCACCCAAACCAGTGCCATCTCGGTACTGTGTAGGGCCCTAAAACCGGACTGAAAGGTTTCTGAAATATCATTCCCATCCATAAAGCTAACAACTGATGGTACACACATTTTTCAGGCAACTTACTTAAGAGGGAGCTTAGAAATAGGCCTATAATTAACAGGCAGTGAAGCATCCAATCCAGGCTTTTTCAGTAAAGGTTGTGCGACTGCCTTTTTAAAAAGGTCTGGAACCAAACCAGAAGACAAACTCATGTTAATCATGTGCAATATTGAAGGGGCTACTGTTAGAAAGACTTCTTTAAAGAGGCGAGGAGGCACCACATCATCTGGAGAGCCACTCGGCTTAGCCTCCTCCACCATCTCAGCTAAATCAGTTAAAAGAATTGGTTGGAATGACTCCAGCCTTCCAGCAGCAGATACAGAGAGGCTCACTTCTGGCATCCTTGGCGTTACAGAACGGGGCATAGCTATTTTTGCTATAAAATGATGTCACACATCTCGACAGATGCCTGTACCGGAAAGTGGTCTTTCACATTCAATACAGAGTTAATTGCAGCATATAGTACTTTGGGATTGTTTGAGTTCACAGAGATAAGGTTGGAGTAATAAGCATGTTTAGCAGATTTATCTGCTTCCTGACAACATTTCCAACTTTCCCTTAGTTCGATCAGAGACGCATGCAAATGATCCTTTGTCCATTTTCTCTCATATCGCCTGCATTTCCTTCTTGCAGCCGTTGACCATAAATTTGCTGCGCGGTTTCTCTTCCTTGGCTTTAACGGCTGATCAGGTCTCATTAAAATAATTGGGTAGTCCATCCAGTGAGGACCAATCGGACAAATCCAAAGCAGCCTGGCCAAATAGCAAGGAAATTTGACTTGCAGTGTCCAAGTTCATAGGACAACTGTATTTAATCGGGACAGCAGGTGTCACCAAGCTATTACTCAAGGTAGATTCAAATAATATTGGCTTGTGGTCTGAGAAAACAGCATCATCAGTAGTCAGATTAGTCACAGAGCATTCAGACGACAGCGCAAGGTCCAGTGTGTGACCACATTCCTGGGTGGCCCCATTAACCCACTTGGTAAAACTGAAAGAGTTCATTAAATTATTGAAATCAAAGACCAGAGCAGCAAACGTGAATATCAGAGTAACATTATCTGCTCATATCTTGCAGCACATCTTGCTAGAAACTGAGAACTCGAGGGACCTAGGTTCAAATCCAGGCAGAGCCATATGATATATTGGCCCAAAAGTCACTTACATTTTTTTTTTACAGTAAAACAGTAAGTTTCTGTGTGTACTGCTGTTACGGCTGTTGCTGTTTGCCTCAGAAGGTGGAGGCAGCACTGATTGTCCTCTGCAGTGTCTGATTTCTGAGGCAAACAGCAACAGCCGTAACAACTGCATTATTGTCAACGACAGCTCTGACTGAAGCTGCGTCTCTCCTCACTGCAGTGAGGAGCGCGCACACACACAGAAACAGACTAATGACGGAACACACCAGCTGCGAAGTGCCGCGAAGTGGATCGCTCACGAAATTTGTGCGCTGTCCGCTCCACCTCTGTTCACATCAGGCGAGAATTTTCAACATGCGCTTCTGCTCACGCCTACTATTTTCGCAGCGCTTTGCAGCTGATGTGACTGAGAGTGTGGGTTAACAAGGGTGTCAATTAGACGAGCTCGTCATTCCACAACGCTTCATCGCACTTCAGCGTCTGGTGTGTTCCGGGCATAAAGCTGAAGCCTCTCCTTGCTGCCGTGAAGAGCCCACACACACAGCGCTGCCGTGCCTTGAGCTGCACAGCCATCGTTTAAGGGAGACACCACAGTCTTTTCTGCACGTCTGAGCTACAATGTAGCCACAGCTGCCCTGGGGCACAATGACAGAGGCTAGACTGCCAAACACTGGCGCCACCAGTCCCTCCAACTACCACCAGCAAGCAAGATGCATTAAATGTCTTGCTCAGGGACACAACAGGTGGATGGATCCTAATCTAGCCTCTAAATGTTTTGTATGCAAATTGCTGATGCATAATTGTTTCTGACAGTCTTTCAGCTTGGATCAGCTGTTTGTGTGAATAAATGATGTCCTGGTTCCAGCAGGGTGAGCTGTGGATATTGGTGAACCTACTGAAAACCACAGAGACACTGTCAGAGCCAGAGCTGGTCAGCCTGTCCATCCTCATGTCGGACTTTCAGGAAGCTCTAACCCATGTCCAGCCTTCAGCTAAAAGAGAGGGCTTTGCCACCATTCCAGATGTCACCTGGGAGAATGTGGGAGCACTTCAGGAGATTAGAGAGGAGCTCACCATGGCCATATTGGTAAAAACAAGCTTCAATAACTTACCAGAAACAGCTTTGCATCACTGACCTTTTTTTTTTGCCACCACAGTAGAATTTAGGGCCAGGATAAAGCTGGTTATACGTTTCCTCTGTGTTTTGCAGGGCCCAGTGCGTTCTCCACAGCACTTCAAAGCTCTGGGTCTGACTGCTCCATCAGGGGTTCTGCTGGCTGGACCTCCAGGATGTGGGAAAACACTGCTGGCCAAGGTACCCCACCACACACACAACTCATAATCCTAATCTAAACCAAAATCTAATTCAGACCATAAAACCGTGTTTAAGGCTCTTTTCTCATTTTGTAGACCAGCCAAATGTCCACGCACTACAGGTTAAGTTATGTTAAGCATAAAAAGACGATTACACACGCGCATAGAGAGACAGACCAGTAACCAAACTAGGGCTACAACAAACTATTATTTGGATTATCAATGAATCAGACGAGGTCTCGACTCGATTAATCGGGTTAAATGGGAAAATTAAAAAATTGCTAGGGAAACATTTTTTTCTCCTTCCTTTACTTTAACAACTGAACATGATTAGAAAACTGTTCAAAAGTGTGCAAAACAACATGTTATTATCTAAATATATCCTATCTTCATTAGTGACAGTTTTCATGCGTCAGCATTTTGGCAAATCCAAGACCGAACCAGTTTCATGAAACTTAGCAAGAAGTTTTCTAACTATAGCATGGGAGATTGGTGGTCTTGTAGGATGTCTTACATTGAAATCTGCTGCAATGACCCGGTTACTGCGTTCATCAGATATCAGCACAATTTCGATCCGCTCCTCACATGTTAACTTCTTCGATATGTCAGTGGCTGTGAACAAAGACAAACTTGTCAATTACTCATCAAAGAATAAAGTTACATTCAAACCAAGCACACCATTGTTTTTCTTGTGAAATTCCCAATAAGTTTGACGTGTCACATGACCCTCTTCCTATTGATCAAACAAAATTTGGATCCAAGATGACTGTTTTCAAAATGGCCACCGTGGTCACCACCCACCTTGAAAAGTTTGCCCTCTCACATATACTAATGTGCCACAAACAGGACGTTATATCACCAACCATTCCCATTTTATTAAGGTGTATCCGTATAAATGGCCCACCCTGTATAAAGGGTGAAAGGAGGTAAATCTGCCAATTTCCTTGACAGAAAACCTTGTTAGTGGTGTAATCACCACTAAAC